TGACTGTCAGGAAATTAAATGAACAGAGAGGAGAACTAGCCAAATTAACATTTATAACTAGCCAGTAGTAGTACGCCAATATTAATAGGGCAAATCAACTTAACAGAACAAATATTAGATCTAAGCTTCTTTCTCAAAGAAAGAGGTACAGTTTCTGCTTTGCTTTACTGACTAAGATGTAATGGTACAATTTAAATTGTACCATTAAACTTTTTTTTAAAAAAGGTATATTTTGATCCTTTTATTATGATTCTGTATGTCTAGGTGGTCCAGCAGTGTTGCAGTTAAGATTTACAGAAACTAATGTGACTCCTGATGTCATTGAAACCCAGGTACCACTTGTTTTATGGTGGCTCACAATGACTGCTGAATTTTTTTAGAAATTCCCTGATATGTGGATAAATACTTCCCCTCTTTTAACCGCAGTAGGATTCAGTGCTCAGTCGGTAAAGCACTGGACTGCAAAGCGGGAGGTCATGGGTTCGATTCCCAGGGCTGCACCACTACCCAGGGTCTTAAAAAAATTGAGAAATTAGATTGCTGCTTTTGCCTAGCAAATGGTTAGACCTTTGTTTGGCTCAGATAGCCATGTAAAATGGTGGTCCTGTCTCTGGAAGTTAGACATTATGATAATAATAGTGTGCCCAATTAGTACTTTTGTGCTAAATACATTGACACTCAATGATGAAGGTGCATCTTTTTTTCCAAATGATGTAACAACAACTGCATCAAACAAATGCCCAGTAACTAGTAGACATGACACCGTCACATTCTTGGTGCACAAAATTCCCATGGCAGTGGTAAACTTAAAAATGCTGCTAACTCAAAATCGAAAATGGGTTTGCTAAGGATGTCTATGACAAACTGTTCCTGTTCTGGCAACCTAAAAAATGTCAACAAACTTTACATGATATTTGTTCACCAATAAAGGGGCGGAATCCTGATGCAATGAGGCACCCGGAGACTGGGGAAATGTGTTCCTTGGTGTGTTATATCAAGGTCCTCTTCCTTACATTTTACCGTAGCTGGGGCAAAGAAAATCATTGTATACTGGGAGTTCGTTTTATTTTCTAGGGCTTCATTTTATCAAGGTTCCACCTTGAGGGGGTAATTTTGAAACATATCATTGATTTACCATTAAAGTGAAAGTACTAAAAGATGCTCAAAAGGGAGATATAAATACTTGAGGAAATAAGGTCTTTGGTTTTGTATCCCAGCAATTAAATTTTCCTTCTTTCCTGTCTGATTCAAGTAACCGATCAACTGGCTTTTTCGTTCAACTGTTGTAGGTTTCGTATGAGATTGTTGCACTTGGGGCTCCTGTGCAAGTGGTCTGTAGTGCACAGTCGACCAACCTTACTGCAATCCCAGCACCACTGAACGCTCCAATTCCAACACCCTCAACTCATCAGCTATCAAGCAGTGTGAATCAGACATCTGTATCAGCCACAAGTGTAAATGCATCTGCATCAGTTATTGGAGGTAGTTCGAAGAGGAGGCGAAGAAGAAGCATCCTTTCTAGTAACAGGACAGTACTTCAGTATCAGTTTAGCACTTCAGCAGGTAATGCAAGTAACTCAAACTGAATCCTGTCAGGTTGCCACCAGACTATCTCGCCACCAACTAAATCGCTAACAAGAGGTCGATTCACTGCCAACCAACTCGCCACCAAGACTAGTAACTCTAAATACCAAGGATTATACCTTAAATCCTCTATTTAAGCCCCTCGGGGAGCTTATTTATTTCAAGCCCATTTGAGGGGGGCTTAATAGAGATGGGGGGCTTACTTGAGAGGGGTGGGTTTTTTTTTTAAATTTAGAAATGACAATGGTATCAGTTCTCCATAAAGAACTAGAATCAAGTACAAGAAGTTTTAGGTCATACAGCCGAGGATCAGAATCAAATGCGATCTTCCAGTTGGTGAATAAATCATCCCAGATCAGTCCAAACGAAGTTTTACAGTCGTGGTTGATTAATATAGGCTATCAATTATTAGTGAAGAATAAATGTGGGAGGGGAGGGGGGGGCTTAATAGAGAGGGGAGGCTTATTAACTTTCTTCCCCTTAAAAGGGGAAGGCTTATTTGAGAGGCGGGGGGTGGGGGAGGCGTAATAGAGGATTTACGGTAAGACAGTACGGACCGGTTTCCATTTAATAACATGTTTAGTTCTTTCTTAAGTTAAGTTGACCCTAATTGAAACATGCGTCGAACTTCCCATGTTCTTACTGACATAATGCAATACTGACATGATAGATTCAACTTTTAAGATGTGAGGTGAAAGTATCAAACATCGCGGCGGATGTGCTTAACGAAGGTATAAAAATATTATATGGAAACCGATTATATGGATTTCGCGTTATATCAGCCTAAGTCCTTGGTAAGTGGGTCAGTTATAGGGGGTATTAGTCTTGGTGGCGAGTTGGTTGAAAGCCAGTCCACTTCTTGTGGCGATTTCGTCGGTGACGGAATGGGGGCGAGATGACCGTAAATCATATCATAAGTGACCCAGGTGACACCCAGAAGGGTACTTAAGGCAACTTTTGCTGGGTAATACCACTACTTTGTGGCCTTATAATGTTCCAACTCCATTACACTCTATGGAGAGCTTGCTCGCAGGTTATAGCCTTTACTACCTCGTTCCCCTGGTCCCACGGACCCCTGCACCGAGAGAGAGAGACAAGGAGAGGACCCTGGGAAAGAAGTTGTAGCCAGTAAAATTGTAGACCCTGTCTAAGTCCGGTTTTTGCAGATTGTTGATCTCAGCTTTGTTTTCAAAATGTGCGACGCCAGCTTTAGACAAAGAAGTATTTTTTTCCTTTTTTCTACAGGGCCTCCTGTAACGTTCGCTCTGGACGTGTCTCCTCTGCGGATTATACCACGAGCTGGCTTTCTCCGGGCACCTAACGGCAGTTTCAGCGGAGTCCTGGCACTAGACCAACCAGCTGACAACACTGTGGACATCACGTGTTCTCTAGACACGGTGTCGCCTGGGGCCGACTTAAGTAATACTTCAGGGCTGTGTTCCAATGCGCCAACAGATAAATTGACATTTGCAAACAGTACTGTGGAGATAAAACTCGACACTGTTACAATTGAGTTCCAGGTCAGATTTACTGTAGAGATTTGAAAAATTACATCTTTGTTGACTATTATACTTTGTTAACTTCAATTTTAACAGGACGAAGCGCAATTAGTTTTCGTCTTTTAAACTATACAAACAAAGTGTAGATTGCGAGTCATTTCTTACAATAAGCCCTACTAGGGAGTTTTTGCAACAATGAGACAACAGCAGAAACGTCAGTATAAAAATTAGTTCGCGTTTTGTGAATCTTGGTGATTCTGATTTAAAAGTGACAAACCTAGGTGAATTTTCCGGGAGTTGAATTCTCAGGACCACTCCCTAGTTAAGAAAGAGAAAAAAAATATTCTTCGTTTTGTGTTTACATACGTCCTCTACAAGACCTCTCACAAGGCGGTATTTTCACGTCTTCGTTGTGCAGTGAGCAAAATTATGTGATGCATGTGCCAAATTGTTATTTGTCCATTTCATTTACGGTATTGCCGCTTTGTCGTGATTGCTAGAACCAACTAATTTTGTAAGGGGGCGGTGAAACTGTCGGCATAGTCTACATGCAGCTCCACCCTCCCCCTGAAAAAAGAAAAATGGTGAGAGTTCCCGATTGTAGTTTTGCTTATTCGGATGCACCTTAGGGAGGTGGGGAGAGGGCACGGAGGCTGGGTGCGGCTACTTGTAGGCTTTATTTCGTAGAAGTGGCAGAACATGTGGGCATCGCCGCTTTTAGTGAGTACAGTATGGGTGATAATTCCTTCAGCACCTTGCTAACCGTTTAGGCAAAAAAATTGGACAATTTTTTTTTTCTTATCAACGGAAGAGAACGCTATTACATATCTGTAGTTTAAAGAACTTCCGAAACAATATCAGTAACCAGTGGTTCCGAGTGGAGAGCGTTATCCAGTGAATGAATATATTTCAAATCCACTGGATAACGCTTTGATCTTGCCAAATAGATAGTGTTTCATCACAGGCATCCCAAATTCACGTTACGAGGGTGGAATGTAATTTCTGTTGACGCGAACGAGCTGTTTTTTACGTTACAAGCGATCGTTGAGACGTTGTATGAGAACTAAAAATACTGAGATCTGCGAAATACAACAAAGATAAATCTTCTTTATGTAGTTTATTGATCAAAAGGTAAAATACAGCGATATTTATTGTTCGCAGTCCATAGTATTTTACGTCTCAAAGATCGCTTGTAACGCAAAACCAACGCGCTCACGTCAACAGAAGTTGCATTCCACCCTCGTAACGCGAGTTGAGGATGCCTGTGGTTTTATTCATTTTAAATACAGTAGAACCTCGATAACTCGAACTCGGATAACTCGAATTCCCCGCTAACTCGAACTGATATAAATTTCCTTTCCCTTGATGAAAACTTCACCTAAATTTACCCCGATAACTCGAATTCCCCGCTAACTCGAACTGTTTTACGTTTCCCTTCAGAGTTCGAGTTACCAGGATTCTACTGTTAACCATTAGCAACTGTGGCTTGGAGAATCTCTCTCATTATAAATTTAGGATGTTGCAATAGGCCATTTTCACGATGACGATATTTGCCTACAACTACCAGAATTCATTTCGTTTTTGCTTTGTTATTTAAATTTGTCAATCCCGCTGAGGATTAAAGAACAATAGTCCTAATTTGCACAAGAAAACAACAAACTGAAGGATTCTGGTAGTTGTAGTGAAATGACGTCATCGTGCAATTGTCCTTTTGTTGTTTTCTAACTTATGCTTATCGTGACGAACTTCCTTTAGATTAATGAGTTGTTTAAGAACATAAAGCTGACGTTGAGTGGAAGCCCTGCTTGGCGCACAGAGGACGTGGTGCGAGTCTCTTGTTGTGGTCGGGATACAAGTTTGAGTCTTCGATACGTCAACGAGACAGCGGTAGCTATCATCTGGGTTGAAATTCGAAAGTTACAACCAGTGGACTGGAACAGTATCACAAGTAAGAAATGGGAGCGCCGCGAAGAAAGAAAGAAAACTGTTTTTAGCTTTATTGGCAAACTTGGCTCAACTATTTTAACGTGAATCGGGAACTTGTAAATAGATGAATAGACGGTTTGCAGTTTTGTGTTTTAGACAACTTACATCCCAAAATGTTTTCCCTAAAGTGCAGTTTGAGCTTTTGTTTGTTAATTCTCTAAACGCAGAAAGAAAACAAAATAACCGAACATAGCATAAAAGTAAACATGACATCCTTTAGACAGAAAAAATAACTTTAGAGTATGCACCAGGGTAAATTCAGGCATATTGCTTTGGTGTACTGTGAATAATTTTGAAACAATCATGGTTTTATTTTTGCCTAGGTGGTCAAAGGAAGGCTACACTTGTGTCTGATATAGATTTGTCGTGTCCCTGCAACTTAAAGGAGAACTCCTGCGATACAGGTTGTTGTTGTGATCAGGTATGAGTGCTTCACACTGTCTTCTAGAATGACAAATAACTACAGGTAGAAACAAAAGGGAAAGGCAACCATAGGAGCACTGCTAAAGGGTGACTGGGGGCGCTTAATAGAGGTGGCAGTTCTAATACCTTAAATGCAGTGTTTTTATGGGCGGAAAATCAAGCTTGCCCAATGGGAAAGGTCCAGGCAAGTCATGAACAAAGACGAGCAAGAGGTGATCCCAGGCAAGCCAAATGTGAGAGCGGCTTGCCCAAAGGACAAGCTGGACTTTAATTTATTTTTGAGCCTTGCTAGGTGGTTCATGTTCAGGTTCCACTGTACTTTCTTTATTTCACCTGTCTTTTCTTTGTTTGCTATGGCACCGTACCTGATCATTGTCCAGTTAATAAATTGTTTATCAATTCGAAATGTCGCATGCTTATTGCTTTTTACGTCGTGGCCAGAGGGCTTTGTTATATAACTTCAAATAGCATTTTCTACTTATTTAAGTGATTGCTTGAATGTCTATTCTCTCTTAAGGATTGTAGTGACTTTGAAAACGAGACGGCCAATTGCATCCCAGGATTCTTTGGTGGTGCTACCTCAGAGAGACCTTTCGAATTTAGTTGCCAAGCCTCCTGGCCTGACGCAAGGGACTGGCAACCATTCCTCTGTGTTGCCATTAACAACAGTCCATTTACTGGCTATTTTTACAATCTCACCAGTCCTTCTCTAGCTCAGGACCCGGCATCGTTTAACGCGCTTGCGAGGAATAAGAAAAGGGAAAGTTTTACGTTTGTGGAGAGCGAAGAACGTCGAACCACAATCTCGAGTGGGTTGTACACAATGGGAACAAGTGTGAAAACAGCTGCTAACGCTGAAGATGTAAACTATGTTAGAGCCACAGTGGGTGTGTTGAGTCTACCGCAGACTGTATTCAATGGTTTGTGCTCCCAGGACGTACCCGTTAGATTTCTGGAACAAGTTTCCTCTCGCTGTGTTCTTGAGTTGGAAGAGTCTCTTTGTAACTCGCAGTCGCCGTGGAGTGCTTTGAATTATTTGATGCCCATTCAACTCAATCGCCCCACGTGCGTACGACCACCCTCTGTTCTGGCACAAGGACGGCTCAACGAAACAGGAGGGCCTCCTGAGCTTGCCACAACAGACGTACGATATTATTGTACGGATATCGCGGCTTTTGTTTCCGCGGCAGCTAAGGAATCGGAAAACTCGCTTACTAATAATTCTTCTTCGTTATTTGAGAGCAGCGCGCAGGAAAGAGCAGATCCCACGAGGTGTGCGTTTGATGATGGAGAAACTCTACCACCAGCACCAGTCTTTAACAAAACAACGAGGTTATGCTCAAATGTAGTGGTCAAAGTTGAATACGAGTTTGAATGGCGTGACAGGAGAATTGACGCGGTGAAAGCAAGAGTCACGCTTGGAAACGTTCAAATTCCTGCAGTTAAAACAAATACCGGTCTTGTCACTTCTACCGATGCTATCAACACCCTAAGCCAGAGGTTTTCAGTAAATTTCACCCATTCACCGCTACTTAATTCTTCAAACGTCCGCGAGGCTCCTTTTCAGCGGTCGGGGAATCCAGGCTACCTGCTCGGTCGACCGGTGTTGAGTCGCCTGGAAAACAGTTCGGGACAAGTGAGTTGTAGAAGGTTTTGTTGCCTTCGCTCTGTTATACATTCAAGGAATAATAGTGACAATATTGCTGTCGAAGATGATGATGATGATGATGATGGTGGGAATTATTGACAGTAATGATCATATCAGTAATATAAGAGGCGGATGGAATATAGTTCTACCCTTTAATTTTGTTTGACCATTGAAGTAAAGCTTCCTCCGCCGTACTTTACCGAGCACGATACCCTGTGTTTTATTTCTCCTTGAATTTGGACTTTTTTTAACTCTTGGAAAGGGTTAAATGTTGTTGCTCATTTTTGAGAGAGTTTCTTGGAAGAATAGGGCAAACTTCTTTTGCTAGGTTAATGTCACAACGATTGGGCAGAATGGCCCTCCTGATTGGATAGGAAACGAAAGAAGTTAAACAGATCAATGGCAGCCTGAAAACAGCCGATTT